TTTTTAATTGAATTTTTTATTTCATAATTTGAATTATATTACGTTATAAAACAAAGACTCGTAAATAATAAATACCTTTGTATTAGATTGTAAAACAATTTTTCATTCTTAATTTTCATTTTTCAATATAAATACTCTCATTTGATAGAAAAAATATATATTTATGTATAGAGAGAGGTCATTTTTTTGACTATACAAAGGAAAATGAACTTATATTAATTTGACTCCGGATGTCTTATTTTATATCAATATCAAGAAAGTAACGAACAAAATCTCTCATTTTATAATTTACGCGTTACTTCACTCTTTTAACATGTTTGTTTTGTTCGAATATATTTTACTATAAAAGTGAAGAAACCTGAAAAAAGGAGATCTGAACTCTTAATAGAATAGAGACAATAGATGGCAGGTTTACCTCTTACAATTTTTTAAGAAGCAAGCGATAAGTTTTTTTATTACGAAATATCTTGATGATCGCTTAGAATAATCGAAGAAAAATGTGAACCATGGAGTACGGAGACAGACGCGGATTTATTTTATTTTCTTTTAGTAATATTTTGTCCGTTATGTTTTGGAAGTCCGTGCTTCTTTTTTTTTTATATATATACAGTGCTTTTTTTAATAGCGGGTATACAAATAATGTAAATAAATAAATAAATAAACTAAAAAGCCCCATCACGTGGCCTCTGTCTTTGCCAATAAATCAAAGCTGTCATTGGCTGTTTGTGTTTATTTTTCCTCTCCTGCTCAATTGCGAGGCGGTTGATGTATCAATCTGCAATATCTTTTTTTTTTAGTTTGGCAACATCTATCTTTGAAAAAAAACAAAGGAGTAATGTACCGGTCTTTTGTCCTTCTGTATTATCTGCAATCTTTTCTCTTTCAGGGGGCTGGTGCTTTTAAATTGTAAGTACTTGTGGAGTTGCCATTTGCCGGTTATCTCTGCTCTGTGGTAGCATGCTTAGATTTTATTTAATTAATTAATTATTTATTTATTTTATACTGAAAAGTTAATTTATCAGTGTTATAATTTTGAATTATTGATCTTGATTTTAAATTAAGAATTTTAAATTAATACATATATACCAACTTGATTAAATTCTTCTTAATATGCTAAGATTTATTGTTAGTCTTCTACATAATCTAGCTTAAAATTTTTGGGTTCTTGATAGAGTTTAGAAACTTATTCTTATTGAAATTTGAAAAGTTTATGAAGTTAATTGAATTTTTTTTTTAACAAGGTTACAATTTTGGGAGTGAAAGGAATTGAACCTCAACTCTCGAGTTGAAATATGCACTTTACAAACCGACCTATGACCGTTGAGCCTAGGTGCATTAATTAAAATTAATTATTCTTTACAAGTTAAGTTAACGAAATCTAACTAGAGATGCATGCCACATCAGTCATGTTAACGGTGACAATTGGTTCACGTTAACTGAGGGACTAATATGTATTGAACAGTATTGTTTATGAGTTTATACATTTTAAAAAAATGAGAAATATAATTTATTTATTCGTAAGTTTTACATACCATATTTATATAAAATTTTTATCATTTTTTTTATTTTTAATAAATGTGTGTGAATCTATGTTCTTTAAAAAATAGTTTAGGAGCCTATGTGACAATTTAAAAAAAGTTTCAGATCTTAACATTGAATTTTGCCTTGTCTAGGTGAAAACTTTCTTTTTGGACCATTTTTGTTTTTGGACCAATCTTGTTGGGAAACTTTTCATTTCCCAACACTTGTCGGCATGGCAATAAATAACGCTTGGTAAATTTTCAACAATTTACACCATGGTAATGAATGCAATCGATTCAATGCGTGGATGGGACAAAACCAACTTGCTGATGCAAGACATTTTTTATGTTGAATTGTCTGAGATGATATAATTTTTTCTTATTTTTTAATTAATTACTTGTATATATAATATAATTTATATTTAAAATTTTTTATTTTTATTAAAAAAATTATTATCAAATTATTCAAATAGTTCACTGAAAAGTGTATACTAAAAATATTGTACCTCCTTTATTGCCAAATATAAATTATTTAACCATTTTACAAGTATTTTTAAGTAATATATTATTTTAAAATATATTAATAAAAATTTAATTTTTTTATACATAATTCTTGTTAGTTAATTTTATTTTAAAAAAATTTTAATTTTCAAATAAGATATATAAAATATAATTTAAAATTAGATATGAAAAATCAAATCACTTAAATTTTTAAACAAGGAGAGTATGAAAAGGAACGTATAATAAAAATTTTATTAAATTGATATTTATTAATTTAAAAATTTTAGTTTAAAATAAAGATTAAAAATTTAAATTTTTATACCACTAAATAACCGACTCTTTTTTTTTTTAATATGAAAAAGTTGGAGAAAAGAAAATAAAAAGCAGAGCATTGAAGCTGGGCATTTTCCAAGAATTTTATGTACCTAAACCAAGGCAGCTGAAGCTGCAAGTGCAGCAACGAACTCTTTAGTATATGTACCAAGCAGAGTACTACATAAGGAGTCAAAGTAATTCATAAAAGGTCAGTACTTTTGTTGAAATATTAACCTTTTTATGTTCTATAAGAATGTGATGATATTAAGAAAGTAGAGGAAAAATAATCATACAAGTCCGCAAGAAATTTTGGAAGAAATTTTTTCTCTTTAAAATATTTTAAATTAAAAAATTATTTATTAAGATTTTTTTTTTTTTTTTTTGAACTTAGGGAAATTTGGGGGATGGGGATTAGTAGTGCCTGGGTATAGAACCCAGGACTTCATGTCCTAACACCTCCCTTACAAGGGGATGGCCACTAGGCCACGTTGTGTTGGACAATTATTTATTAAGAATTGTATTAAAAAAATTTAATACAAAAAATGCTAAGTTAAGGCTTTGTTTCAAATATTTAAGTGTATTAAAATATTAAATAAACCTAATGTCTTGACGATAACTAAGGTTTAACCCCCAAAACGCTGTCATGTTAAAATTTTCTATCCTCCTACTTTAAATTGTAGCTATTAAAAAAAAAAAAGTGTATTAAAATACCTTTAGATGTTTTATACAGGGGGAATTTTTTTTCCCAACCTTGCTGTTGGAATAAACATGTCAATCCTCAATAGATAAAAGTAAGGCTGTGGGTAATCACCTCTGAAACTACATAGTTGAAGTGAATCCTCCAGAAAAGTTGGGGCAAAACCATTCCTCAAATTTCAAATTCAGGATTTCCCTTAAACTACTTGCTTCGATGACAATTTTTTCAACTTGAAGCTGATGTATATTTTTCTTTTAGTATTTAATTATCATCACATTATTTTCAAACTAATTTTCTCACACCTAAAAATTAATATCTTTTTGAGTGATCAAGACTAATCTTTCTTAAAGCAGCTTGATATATTTTAAAGAGTTGATTTTTTTTAGTGCTATTCCTAAAGCTTAAACATTAAATCTAACTCATAAAATTGCCCTTTTTTATCAACAAATTTAATCAGGTTGGAAGCTGATGTAACAACACCATTTGTGCATGCCAAAGCTCTGGGGATAGTTATTTTGTTTTGCCACTGATTTTTTAGGGGTAAATTTGTTCTTAACTAAACATTTGCGACTTTCAAGGGTGATTTTACTCCGTTATCCTCTCTAAATCATCAATTAAGTTAAAAAAATATCGAATTAATCATTTGACTTAATGAGGCAATCTTTTATTAACTAATAAACCGCTATGCACAGTTGACCAATATGTTAGAAAGAACAGTTTCTCTCAAAATCTCGAACTTTTTGCACCGTCCATATCCTACTTAATCTCAAATCCACATATCCACCTCTTCCTATGCAAAGCTCCTCTCTATATATTCAGAAAAACTAGCATTAGCTTAGTTCAATATATTACATTACCTTCTTTCTAAATAATGGCTTCTGTTTCCTTTCCTTCATTAATTTTATTCCTTTTCCTCTACTGGGTCTCTCTAATCTCACCCATCTATTCCCTCAGCTGCACATCAGATAAGCTCAGCAACACCAAAATTCAGTACCCCAACTGCACTGATCTTTCCACTCTTAATGCAACACTGCATTACTCCTACAATGTCGCCACCTCCTCCCTTTCCATCGCCTTCCTAGCTGCTCCGGCCAAACCTGAAGGATGGGTTGCTTGGGCCTTAAACCCAACAGGGAGTGGCATGGTGGGGGCTCAAGCACTCATTGCGTTCAAATCCAATAGTTCTTTGATAGTTAAGAAGTACAGTATTACTTCCTACAGCAAAATAGAGGAGACGAACATATTGGCCTTTGATGTGTCGGATTTAAGAGCGGAGGCAGGGGCAGATGGAAAATTTGTTATATACGCGACGGTAAAGGTGCCGGAGAAGGCCGAATTGGTGAATATGGTGTGGCAGGTGGGTGGCATGGTGGCGCAGGGTCACCCGATGAGACATGCGATGAGTGATGAGAATTTGAAGGCTAAGGGAGCGCTACAGTTGGTGGCTACTAGCGGAGCGGGGAATAGAGACAGTTTTATGGGTTTGTTATTGATTGGATTTTTTTTTCTTTTTTCTGCTTCTTTTCTGATTTAAAGTAGTTCTTGTGCCTGTGCTGTAATATCTGCCAAAGCTAATTCAAAGATATCTAATCGTAATTATATATATGAAAAAGGGTGGTAATTCTATATATATGTTTTTATTCTTTCGTTTTAAAATAAATAATAATTGATATTATTTATT